GTCTGCGTCTTCAGTCATCGTTCGGCTTGTGAGTCGTTAAAGTCTTGTGGTTGAGCACTCACGGTTGGTGAGTGCTGTCTTGAGAAGGGGGTGATGTAATGGGCCACCCCGTTACATAAGTAGTTTCGATTAAGTTTACATGTTACTTAAGTAGGGGTGTTACTTTCGAAGTAGCGAAAGTAGCACGTCGTATATTTTAGCTGGTTTAATGGGCTCAGTACCATTATTAGCCAGTAAGATATAGACACGTAGATTGAGTGGTTCCCATGAGTCCAAGGGAACCATTCGTACTTAGGATGATTTTAAAAGACAAAATATAAACAGAGTTAAAAATACTTAACACCTAAGACTTGGGCTTTGAGCTTCCTCAAAGCGTTAGAAATAGTGTACGCTGAGTACGGGTTATTCTAGCCCCGTTACATTTTGTATATATTACGTACTAGGGACAGAACCTGCAGGTGCATAACAAGTTCTCAAGATCAAATCGAACTCACCTGAAATGAAACGAATTTTTTGCATGTGGACACCTGAGCTTTGATTGCTACGGCTTAAGATCAGTCTTTATTCTACATCTCTGTTGGCTTTGATCTCGAGTCCTACTTGGTCGACCGCCATGTGCCTCACGTGTCCTTCTGAGAATTCACGCGAGCACCTGCGAGAGGGCGATTATTTCAACGTCCAACGTTTTCGATAGAGGCGTCTATCTACACCATCAACTTCCATAGCACATTTATACAAGGCCGTCGAACAACACGGTGCATTCATTGTAAGACCTGCGCGGACGGACGTTAATCCGCTCTCACAACGGCAGTGGGGTCCACTCTCGTCGGCATAAGCACCCTTGGTGAAGTTCGTAAAAGGTAACAGAGTGTCATAGTCTACCGATAAAGTTTGCGGCGATCGATCGGATATGCTACTGCACACGGGCCAGTGTTGAAAAGGTCTGGCCACGATCGGTACTAGCGTCGTATACAAACAAGAAAAGAAAGAGATATGGATCAATGCACAGTTTATTAAACCATAGAAAAAGAGTAAAGAAAATACGTTGCTTTCGATACAAATAACGACGTAGCTAGCCGCACCATGACATGGCAGGTGTCAGTGGGTCTTATCTGCCGTTTCCTTAGCCTTCTTCCACGCGTCGTAAACATCTTTGTGGGCCTCGAGGTATCTGGCGCAATCAAACATTCCTTTTTCCTTCAACACTTTCACCTGGTTTTCATACACGAACGCCGCTCTCTCTTTTTCAGCTTGGATAAGAGTGAAGAACTCGCTTTCGACCGTTTCAATCACCGCTTTTGGCATCCATATTTTTTCACGCGCCAGTTGAAGAAGGACTGCCCTGTCCAGCAAGTTCTTCGAAGCTAGTAGTTTACGCAGCTTCTCGATCATGTCCGCATCCGACGCGCCAGGCGTTTTCAATTCAAAAAGATCATAATATAATCCTCTAAAGACAGTGTCACGACCATCATGCTCAGTGAGGCGAACACCCAACAGCAATAGAGCGTCTATTGCCGTCTCAATGGTTTCTGCTTCACTGACACCACCTTCTGGCAGTCCAATTCTTAAACGAAACGCCCTCGCCTCTTGATCGTCAGCGGAAGCGGGTGATCTCAGTAGATGCTTGGGCTCGTTGACCTCTTGCGGCGAATCGAGTGCGATGGTCTTTGTTGGGCCCAGGCCTGATGCGTGGTCAGCCTTGTCGAGCAGCACACGGCAGATCAGGACCGCACGGAGATATGAGAACCGCATGCCAGGACGTCGGAAGTAAAGGGGCTCTTGGCGGTGACCGGCAGATTGAATAATGAACGAACGATGGGACTGAAGGCCGACCACTTGACCGAGCAGAGGCATTTCGCTTCGAAGCGAAATGAGTGGCAGCGGCCACCCGACCAGGTGAAGACGTTCTGTTGTGTGGCTGCAGGATCGACTTTCCATAGGCAGACGACGGCCAGACGGCGTTCGGACCAGTTGGCGTCATCATGGTAAACTGTGTCAGGCATCCGAATCAGCACGATTGGTAGGTCGCGGGCGAGTAAAGCCGCTGCGGAGCCACTGTGCGGCGGCAGCTACTGTGCAGCTCTTGTATTCACATATTCGGACGAGATTTGCCGAGGCAGTGGTCTCGTGCGACCGTGCATCAACGGCTGTAGCTCATCTTTGCAATCCATCACATCGCAGTCTTTTCGGGCACATGCAGTCCAATGCTTAGATTCCGCTTTAACGGCCGATAAGCACGGCTTAAAGCCAAGTGTTGCGACTCGCGTTGCGCGCACTGTAGGACGTCCCCCGATGACACCTTGTCTCACAACCTCTGACTTTTGAGACTTCTTCTAGGTACGGAGACCTTATCTAGTTTTGGGTAGGCGCCGACGCACCAATGGACTGGTCATGAACAGACGATCCGTCGGGCTAATTGTAGGAGCACGTCTGTTCCCACGCTTCATACATTCCAGCGCACTAGTGCCGTCTCGATCAAGCATCAAAGACCAGTGCGTGAGCCACTATCGATGGCATGCCACTCTGGTCAAGAGAAAGCCTCCTCTGCGGGTCCGAGGTGTAAAGCTACTACAATTGTATACGCACACCCTGTGCGTCGGGAGTAAACCAGCAGCAATCGCTGGTGTGCGGCAGCTGAAGCCATCGAGAATCTGCAAGTTGCAGACTAATCCTTGTCCAGAAACGAGAGCGACATCCGACCACAAACCACACAGTAGCAAAATTGTTGGGGATAAAATGGCCGTAAAAAGAGATAGTTCACTGCGAAAATTTCCTGTGATCGGTCGCGGAAGACACTGGCGACAAGGTCATTGTCGATGTGAGTGGTCGCACCTTCCGCAAGTCGCACGACTGCATGGATCAGTTCTTCATATCACCTGCGGCCTTGCAACCTTCAAGTGATGCGACCAGGCACGACTCACCGAAGCAGTAAGATTGGCTGGTTGGTTCAAGATCGTCTACTTAACTGGTAGAGGTCGCGAGATGTCTGATAAGTTCTCAAGCCCGGATGACAACGCCGGTGCTCATTCGAGATCGGTGGATGCACGGGGCGCGTCCCCTAAAGTGACGCTCTCGGTTTGTCTGACTCGGCTGCTGTATCCAAGGGACAAATGGGTATCGTTCGTAATCTTTCGCGGCCGCTCAGGCGGCTAGATGATCACAACATGTGCAATCGCCGAAGCGAAAACACATATCGTAGGGAGGCCCTAATGACCGCTTGCGTGGCCCCTCGACGTGTAGTGAATTTACCAAAGTGACTGCGAGGCGTGGAGAACGCCTACCCGCCGTGTATCTCCTCGAATAGCTCACCCGTCCGCGATGGTGGCCCCCATCGGCCGCCAGCGCGGCCCCTCGGCGTGGAGTGTGCGCCCGCCGCAGCGGCGACACGTGGCGCGGGGTACGCCCCTAGTCCGTAAAACACCCCTGCTTGACCGCTTGCGCGACCTGTCGGTCCCCTGCACCCACACCCGAGACAGCGAGTGCAGCGTGCCCGTGTCAGAATTTCGACCCTGTTGGCTCCCCTAGGGAGGATTCCCTCCGACGTGTCCGCCCACGAAGGGAGAAAAGGACTGGCTTGAGCTGAACCGTGAAAATTTGGGAAAACCGACCGAGGCAGTACGAGTCGAGAGTCGAGAAACGTACCGTTCTCGAGAAGAGTGTGTCAAATACGAAGCCAACAGCAGGGCATCCGTGCTGTCATATTGCGACAGCAAGAAGCGAATGAACGTTGCACGCACAGAGGGATTCAGCTGCTGAGCTGCTTGACTACAGGCATATGCAGCGTGAAATATACGACGGCATGTCATTATCAGAGTGTGCAGCTGAAACATAGACTCGCATGTATCATGGCGAACGTCGTCGTCTAAGTAGCATTCCATTTAGGAGTCGCCGACTTAGAACTTTGGTCACTCTTGGCACTAGACTTTTTTACCACCTGGTAGCGACAGTATCCCGTGGCAGCCAGGCAGCAGAAATATCTACCATAAACCCGTTGGCTTTTACTGGTCTAGCCCCAGCTGATGTAGGCACGCTGTACTGTATTTACGTTGAACAGATAAGCTTTGAAAAAACATAGCTTGTGCGACAGCTCGGTTTATCATCGTCAACTTTCTCCTTACAAAGATTAGCGCAGTCGATGCAGGCACAACCATGGCAAATGCGTCAAGCGTCGACGTATGCTGAATCACGGCATCATCGGCCTTTATCGGTATTTAATACCAAAATCATCTGCCAAGCCCAGTCGCACCGTGCTGTCGACGTGTTTGTGAGTATCGGTGTGTGAGCATCAATGTCGTTTCCATCTCGAGTATTCTTGGTTACATCGCCTTGTTCTCCCAAGCACAACACTGTCAACACACTGGTGCAGACTCATTCTTCCGATAAAATGACGAAAGAGTAGTCAGCAGCATGTCCACAATGGTCTTGTCGGCCTAGTGCATAATCCCCTATGTATGAGAGTGATCCCGTTACATAATAATTGATATCTTTGTATCAAGTTTTGAGCATTATCTATTTAGATTATGTTCAATTGACATTACTCATAAGGAAAAAGGTTGAAGAAATATCACCCCCGAGGGTAATATTTCTTCGATGGGTTGCTTTACCTGATGGTTGATGTTCACGGTACATCAACCAGATTAATCACCAATCTCTGCTGGATGCGCGCAATGGGTAGTGAGCAAGAAACCCACATAGAAGATTGTAGTTGAATATAGTTGGCTCATTCAAAAGATGCAATATTGAGAAAACATACCTATATTATATACAGTTCTACTTTTTCCCTTAGACAGACCTTTCAAGTTCTGCCTACTTCGCTGCGCTTCCTCACGTCACGTGTACGCGACGTCGGGTGCACACCATCTTGTGTCGAATTAATACAAGGCGTGCCCCGCTGCACCTGGCAGCACTTCGTAGACCGTCCGACGACCACCCGTCTTATCCAATTTGAACATGATGGACTGGAGAGAGAGCTTTCACGTCACACTTAAAGATTTTGCCCATTGGAGTGACCTCAAATTGGCCGCGATGAGGAGAATGAGCGCTATTGTGGGCGACATGGGCGTTACAGCTATGCTGGAGTCTCTTGACAGGGACCCACATCATGCCTCTATAGCCAATTCATTTAAAATGAACTTGTCGCTGTAAGAGAAAGGCTAGCCTTGCTTCACCAGCAAGTCTCTCAACAGTCCGATCCGTTATGAGGACTTGGTGCTCAACAGAAAGAGCTGCTGAGACAGCAGTAATTCAATGCTGCTGTGGGCGGGACGACACACACGCGTCGTTCCGATTTCTTGAAGATCGATATATTTATGTACAAAGGAGTCGAGGAAGACTCCCTGTTATTATGGTTCGTCGAATTAGACAGAGCCATAAAGGCACGTCTTATCGACGATGAGCAAATGAAACTTACATTTGGTCAAGCCCTGTGGCAGGACGTGCCAAGACTTGAACCTTCGGGGTGTTGATGAGCTACCCATATGCTTTCGGTGGATCAAAGACCATAAAACCCGTATTGACAAACGTTTGCACGGCCTCGGGCTGAGTTCAGGGCTCGATCTGAGCTCCTGAACCTCAAATAAGGTACGAGTGATGTGAACGCTTATGCTCAGCATGTATGACTCGTCGCGAGTAGTAAATTTGCGAACATTGTACATGAACACAATTTTATTATCGTGTTCATGCAGGGGCTCTCAGGTAGTCCCGTTAAAAATCATCTGTAGCGCTTTGATCTGGATACGCTTGAACAAGCAATCGCATCTGCGGAACAGGAGGACTTTAGCATGAACCAAGCTTATGCTAACTTAAACTCTCCTTGTTTACCGAGACGATAAGAGACTGGAGGTTTAGAACCCATGGATCTTTGTTATGCTGAGATCGAGAGACCTCGCACCTTAAAGAACAAGTATTTGCAAAGGTGCAATTGTTGTCAGAAGCTTGGACACTAAGCTTACGAGTGTTGTGCCCTACGTTAGTACAAACAGTACTGAGCGGAATGAACGACCCATTGCCAAAAACGACAATGGGCGCTGGTCCAACGCTGTTGCGAGACCGCAACAGCAAAGCGGACCATTAAAAATGGTCCGGGTAAGTAGGAGCGGAGCGCCCTACTGATCCAGCAACTTCAAGAGAATTTGCAAATCTCCTGAAGACGGTTGCTCCCGACACACAATGTCTTTGTGTCTCTGCACCTGGTGATGATGTGACACTAATCACCTTGAAGTTAGAAGTGACGAAGGACTTGTCAGTTCGCGCCCTAGTTGACAGTGGGGCGTCGAACAAATTTGTTCGTCGCCAGTCGCTAGACGGTCATACGGTCAAATTCGTTGAGCGCGACATCCCATCAACGAAAATGACGGTGCGCCTCGCAACAGGCGCATCGATTACTGTTGAGAAGCGTGTAGTGGGAATCCAGTACACGTTAGAGGGCGAACAATACGATGATGACTTCATCGTACTGGATCCATATGACAAACTAAACGTCATTCTAGAGTTACCGTGGCTCATAAGGTATGATCCAAGGGTGAGCTGGTAAAACCAATCCGTGAAGATGCCTTCCGCTTGTTCATCAGATACCATTTGATGAACAACATGGAGCGTCCACAAACGTGTGGATGTAATGCGAATGAGTGCGATGGCCTCCATTTCGGTATGGTCATTAGCTCGACTGCACAAGAATTCAGTGTAGCTGATCACTTCACTGTGGAGAAAGCTCCCGGCTACTATACAGAAGTACAGGCTGCGCCGAAGGTCCA